AAAAAAAAAAAAAAAAAAAAAGAAAATGGAGAGCAAATGTTTCAGCTGTATTATTTATTCACTTTGCCTCTGATTTTTTTCTTCCTAAATAAGTATGAGCCCAGAGTAATACATCACTATTTAATGTTCATGCTGAATAGGGCAATCACCACTATAGGCAACTACAAAAACAATAAATGTTTTCCCCTTCAATCTGATTTTAAAGACAGTTGCATAAAACAAGTTATAGTTCTTTCTTGATGGATGTACTGCATTAAAGATAAAACTTGTATGAGAATAATAGTGCAAAGGATTGAAGGAAGGGGATGGAGAGAAAACATTCATATATTGTTGAATTTAAATTGTTTTCTGTGCTATAAATTGTTTCCTTGGCAACTGTTAAGGAAATAACTAAACAGTCAAAATTGAAACAGTATACTAGAAAACATGTAGAAAAGGGAAATAGAAGTATCTTAGTATGTGAAAAGTAAGCTACATACTTGTAAATAGTGGACCAAAGAAAAATCAAAGGAAAAGTTAAAGCAACTTTAATATCAATGGTGATAAAAAAGAAACAGTCATGACCCATTCTAATTCTTGTAGGTCAGCCTTTGCCATACCAGGTATTGTTTTTGTGCCAGAGGACCTCAGAAGACTCACCTGAATGAGTGAGCAGTTTTTGTGAGGTTACGCCACAGGGTCCCTGAGACACTCTTTGGAGAAAACAAAGAAACAGACCAACACTAAAACAGAAGATGCAGCTGAAACAGTGCTCACAGGGAAGTTGATAGCCCTTGAATAAGTATATTATTACTAAAGAAGAAATATCTCAAACCAATAATGTAAGATTCTAGAGTGAAGAAAAAGAGTAAACTAACTCCAAAGCAGGCAGAAGGAAGGATATACCAGATTTGAGATAAATGAAGTACAGAATAAAAAATAGTGAAAAAAAGCCAAAATTTGATTTTCTGTAAAGATAAGCAAAACTAACAAACCTGGAGCTAGACTACACATGAAACAGACTTATATTAACTAATTTCAGTAGTAAAAGGAAAGGGCCATTTCTAGTAAAATTATGAAAGTTAAAATCGGTTATGTAGATAAAGTAAAAATTAATTGAAAACTAGTTAAAACACAAAAATTCCTGGAAAGGCACAACCCACCAATATGAGCAGTATTGGCTCTAGAAAAAAATAGAAAACTGAATAAGCCTATAACAACAAAAAAAGACTGAATTAATAATTTTTTAAAATCTGCAAAAATGACCATTGTCTAGTGAGTTCACTGATGAATTATGTCAAATATTTGAAGAATTAACATCGATTGTGCATAAGTTGTTCCCCAAAAAATAGGAGATGAAGTAATACTTTCCATTTCATTTTCTGAGGGCAGTATTACTTGGATACCAGATTAAAGCATCATAAGAGAAGAGTACCACAGCTGAGCATGGTGGCTCACGCCTGTATTCCCAGCACTTGGGAGGCTGAGGCAGGAGGATCACTGTAAGTTCGAGACCAGTCTGGGCTACATAGTGAGTTCCAGATCAGTCTCAACTACATAGTGAGACCCTGTCTCAAAAAACAGGCGAGGGGAAGTACCACAAACAAATATCTCCACAAAACATTCCTAACAAAATAGTAGAGAACTGAAGCTAGTAACAGATAAAGTATTATACACCATAAACTAGTAGAAGTTACTTATGAATGAAAGGTTGACTAATATTCAATTATCTTTTAAAGCTCTACACAGTAAATCAGTATATTTCATATACTGTACTCATTCATGGAACACTTTTCATTCATCATGTTTTTATTTATTATAGTTTTGAGACAAGGACTTGCTATGTAGTCTAGGCTAGCTTCAAACTCACTGTGTAGCCCAGGCTGGCCCCAAACCCAGGGCAGTCCTTCTGCCTCAGCCTCCTGAGTGCAAAGATTACAGATGTGTGCTACTATGCCCAGCATTCATAATCTTCTTGAATTTTTTCTGAGTAGCAGGTTATCAGATTACTGCTGAAGGGCCAGATAGTTTAGTGATAACTTCTTAAAATTACTATTTGGATGGAATGCATAGAGCTTACCAGGTATTTTTTTATTTTATCAGCTGGTCCTTCTCAACTGACTCTTAACCACATGCAGGCTAGTCTGATCCTTGAACATATATGGTTTTTTTATTTGTTTGTTTTTTATTTTTGGTACTGGGGATTGAACTCAGGTCCTTGGGCTTGCAAGGCAGGTGATGGAAACACTGAGCTACATCCCGGGCCCCGATGCTTGAGCATATGTTCTCCAAGCAGCCCATCAAGTAGAATTACTAATAATGGGGATAGAGTATTTTTACTGAGGAGTCTTTTGAATAAGAAATAGTGGTAAACTTAATCTTTTTGTAACGTTGAACACTTGCAGCTGTTGATTGTCACAGAGTAATGATAGTGCTTTAACTTGGTAACTTTATTATCATATACTCATTTCAAATATTTTTTTAAAAGCCTAAAATTTATTTGTAGTATTTGGTTTATTGATTATAATATTCTTTATCCTTTGCTAAATGTAGATGCCTATTGTCTGAATTTAGGTACCCAGTTTAGGGAGTTATAATGGGATTAAAACACATGTATTTGACAAACCTCTTTGTAGTACTTTGCCAGTATTTCATGGTAAAAATGATTCTCTTGTATCTTGTTCCTAATATAGTAAGTGCAGTAGTGGAACTTTAATTCATTGTTTATGTGTTGCTTAATTTGCCTCTGATATTAAATTATGCACCTTGTTTTTTAAAGGCAAAACAATTTAAATTTGAACAGTATACTCTGACTTCCAGGTGATCTCTGAGTAAAATGATACACAACTCCCCAAAAGCCTGGAAACCCTGTGTTCTCTTTTCAGTTCATTTATTGCTAATATTTATGTTTTGGACACCCATACCCTCCCTCCTGGAGTGACTCACTGTTTAAATAACACCATTCTGGGGATTTGGTCTTTACTTGAATGTGTACTTTTCCTTTCCCGGTGTACCTGATTTTCTGTCTCATTTTCCTAAGAAGTGGTGGTGAGGTATAGATTCTCCAGCTCTGTTTTCAGATTTATTTAAAAATAAAAGAAAAAGCCTGCTGGATTTCTTTGCTCTATAGTGCTTTTCTTCTTCACACTTTCATTATTGACACACTTGTTAGAATTCCTACAAGTGTGGTTAATTGCAGAATTTTTTAATTATTTGATTGTTGGTGAACTGTTTTGAGTATATTTCTCTTTGGGGTTCCAGCAATGTTGCCAACTATATGTTAATGTTATATCAAACCCAATAAAAAGAATTCTATTTTTACAAAAAAATAGCTAAATCATATAAATTGTTTTTGAAATATCTAAATCATATGAGTTATTTTTGAAATATCTAAATATTTAATTTAGAAACTTTAATATGTTTTAACTGACAATACTTTGGGTAGTGAAAAAGGACACTTTGAATACCTGGAAAGGAACTTTATTTTTCCCTATTATTTATTTGTATGTGGTTTTCTCAAAATAAATTGGAAAAATTATTCACATTTAAACTTCATACTCTTTATTGTTCATGCATCTTAAGATAGTTGGCAGCATTGTGTTTGATTCTTTATTGGTTTTTGGCTTATATAATGTCTTTTCTCCATTTTTTTGTTTTTCTTTTGCTTCCTAAGGACATGATGATACAGCGCCATGTGCAATTTTGAAAAATATGGATAGTTTTAGCTTTCTCCAACACCCAGTCCACCAGAGGAGCTTAGAGATTCTGCAGAGGTGCAAGGAAGAGAAGTACAGTAAGGCTGCAAATTCTGATAAACTGTGTCACACATCCATTTGGAAATGAAAACCAAGAGCATTGTACACAGGGTGGGACTTAGAGTGCATAGGCAAAATGACTTGTATAATCCTTTGAGCAGTCTCAGGATATTTTCTTTAAGAACATAATGCTTCCTCTTAAAAGTGCTGATACGGGTTTTTTGTTTTGTTTTGTTTTTTTGAACTATCTTGTTTGCCTGTGATCTTTGAGTTATTAATTAAACTTGGTTACTGACACTGAATTGGCTTCCCTTGTTTTTCAAGTAGCTGAGTTATACATAAAATTGAGCAGTACCTTTTTTCTGTTCATTTTTTAAAGCTTTATTGAGATACAATTGAAGTGAAACTGCAAAGAGAACTTGGTCAGTTTAAACATATTTTGGTACTCAAGAAATTATCACTATAATCATGATGTTCATCATGCTTTCAAATTTCCTCAGACCCCCCCTTTTTTCCCATTATTTAGAGCCTCAGACTCTTTTTTGAAAGCTTGTTTATTTTTAAACTTCCTCATTATTGAATTTCAGCGCCATCATGCTGCTTTTGTGTATTACTGGTAAATCTCTTTAGGTCAGTCCTCCAATCAGATTTTTTTGTGTTTGGTTTAGAGCAAAGCCCACGTCAGTATTTTGCTTTAAGGAAGAATGACTGAGCAATGGTGCATATTCTTACTTTTGTTTGTTTTTATAAACATAGTGTAAAAGATGCCCTTGGTTTCCATTTCCTCTCTTGCTCTTTGTTGCATTCCTTCTGCATGGAATTGGTTTCTTTTTCCCTGTTGTGAGATTACAGATATTGGGCTACAGCTATTGTAAGAATAAATGAATCTTCAGAATCTTTCAAGCCTAATTCAGTAATTGCCTATAGTGGACTGAATTTACTTAATTGATTATAAGATTTTAGTAAATTTTGCCGCAGATTCCAGTTTGATGATTTTTCTTGTGGGAATTCTACATAATTTTAGTATCCATTGTCAGTGAAGGAAGACTATAAGTAGAATCCCTAAAAGGAAATGTTTTGAGTTCTTTTTTTAGTTTCTCTTTTATATATTATCTTAGTATAAGGAAATGTGTTTTGCAAAACTTCAAAATATTTCCTAATTTTGAAAATCACAGAGGTAAGTATTTCATTTAAAGAAAGACATTCTTAAAAGTTACTCATTGTTAGTGTTTCTGAAAAATATTACTCATTCTGATTATCTGTCTTGCTATTCTAAATCTTTTAATCCATTGCACATTTTTTTTCCATACTGGGAATTGAATTTAGGACCTTTTGTTGCCAGGGGGGCACAGCACCGCTGAGCTACATCCCCAACACTCTGGCAGATTATTTAAAACAGTTTACAGATCGTTTTAAGGAGCTCAAATTAATTATTTTAAACACTTAAGTAATCGCGTATAGTTTATTTGCTTTGTTTTGTCATCACTCAGCTTGACAACTTCAGCTCTGACTATATTCTAACGTACTGTATGTGCATCCAGGGTAAAAAGGCACCAACCTCAGCATAGGCTGTTCATTTATTTATTTTTACATGCAAATTTCTACATTTTTGGACATTTGGAACTTTACATTCCACTGTGTCCTAACAGTAATTAGACTTTTATGATATACAAAATTATAAGTTCAAATTTAGGAAGTTGTTCTCTAAAACTAGAGTACTACTAGCTTTAGGAAATTGTTGACTGGTGAGGTGAAGGAGCTCTTCTGTGGGTAACGATGAAACCTGGGGGAAAAATTAAAATAACTACTTGAAAGCATTAGAAAACACCAAAAGCAGGGAGAAAATAGGATTTGTTTCTTCTTGAAAGTATACAAAGTAGTGGGTAAGAACTGTATGCATGTGGCTTTTTGCACAAAAGGCTCTTGAGCTCCCAAAGCTCTAGAAATAGGCTTCAGCTTTGTTCTCCATCTTCTATCAGCAGTTGGGAATTTAGGAGGAAAAATCTTGGAATTAGAAGACCTGCTAACAGGCTAAAATTCAAACTTGCAGTATAACTGTTCGCATGACCTTGGCTGACTGCTGTGAGTATGCAGGGAAAACCTTAGGAACTCTGCCACAACAGTGGAAACCAAACAGGAGATCATCCTTGAAAAGTGCAACTGTAGTAGGTCAGGTGTTCAAGTTGGCTGCTCATATTGGGGATTGAACTCAGGTCCTTGCACTTGCGAGGCAGGTGGTGGCACCACTGAGCTAAATCCCCAGACCATTGGCTGCTTTTTTTTTTGACTGAGGACATTTTCTACTTGCGTACAGCTTGTGTTGGAGAAAGCTGAAGTTGTTCTGCCTTGAATCTCATTTAAGAGTAGAGAGAGAAAGGGTCAGAAAATTATTTGAAGGCATAGTGGTGGAAAGTTTCTTGCTTAGTTATCAGAAAATTTTTTGAAGGCTTAAGTGGTGGAAAGTTTCTTGTTTAGTTAAAAACATACATACAGGGCTGGAGATTTAGCTCAGTGGTACTGCCGCCTGCCTTGTGAGCATAAGGTCCTGAGTGCAATCCCCAGTACCAAAAAACCGCAAAAAAAACCAAACAAAAAGTTACACTAGTTTCCAGATCCAAAATCAGTGACCCTCAAACAAAATAAATACAAAGAAGATCACGATTACACATGTTGTAGACAAGTTGATAAATTCAGACTTAGGAAGAAGATCTTAAAAGTAGCCGGAAACAAAATTGGCACATTAAATATAGGAGAATAATGATACACTTAATTCCTGGCTTCTCAGTGGAAATTAGTATAGGCTAGAAGGTGTCCGAAAATCATTTTTAAAATTCCAGATAAAAAATCCTCAAACCCCCGCCCCCAAATTTCAGCCCATAATTTCTGTATTTATAGTTTGTTTCCAGTGAACTATCAGAAGAAAAGTTTTTTTTTCCCAAAGAACATAGGTGTGTCCAGAATTGCTACCATATATTATTTGTAATGTCTAGTTATCATTTAGAAAATATATTCTTCAGAAAAGGATATGAAATAGACATGTTGAGATAAATATAATCTGAGAGACAATTGTCATCATAGTAATATGTACCCTTGCCAGGTAAGGAATGCATGCCTGTAATCCCAGCACTTGGGAAGCTGAGGCAGGAGGATTGTTATGGGTTCAAGGCCAGCCTGGGCCACATAGTGAGTTGACTCTGTCTCAAAAAAAAGAGAACATAATATGTACCCTATACAGGACAGTGTTGATGACCCCTGCAGTGGGTCTTGATCCCCTGTGAGACAGTACTATGCAAGCTGAGAAAGAGAAAGAACAAATATACAGACAGGGAATTGAGAGCAGAAGCTGGGTCTTGGGCCTGATGCAAGTTGCTCTGGGCAGCAAAGACAAAAGGCATCAACCAAGGAGGACATTTAATATTTATTAATAACAAGCATGGGAAGGAGAGAGCAGGTTAGAGCTTGGACACCTGCTCATAACAGGTATTGCAGGCAGGACTGTGAAAAGGAGGCACTAACATATCTTTACTGAAGAGAACAAACGGTTAATTCAGAGGGGAAGAATTTAGTTGGAGTCAAGTTGACCTTGGCTGGAAGTGAGCTCATCAAGGTCCTGCTACTTCTTGTTTTTGTGTTCTTTCCCCTTTTTTTGGTACCAGGGATTGAACTCTGGACCTTATGCTTGTGTAGCAGGCAGTGGCACCACTGAGCTAAACCCCCAGCCCCAGGCCCTGCCACTTCTAATGTAATAGAGCCGAATTATGGAGGGGCAAGAAGCTTGTGCCATCTATAGCCTGCTAATACTACACAGAGATGTCTGCTACAATACTCTGAGAAATGACAGTGGAAGTTCTTCAGGCTAAAGGAAATTACCTTTAATTTGTAATTTTGGTCTGTACTAGGGCTCGGTGTAGTTTTACTGCAAAAGGCCAAGTTGTAAATATTTTTTACTTTATGGATCATAAGATTTCTGTTGAAATCTATTCAGCTCTTCTGTGAACAGAGCCATAGATGATGCATGATTATGACTGTTCTAATAAAACTTTATTATAGATACTAATATTTCAATTTCATATACTTTTCATTTTATAAAAATGTTATTTTTCTCACTTATTTAAAAACAATTTGTAGTTCATATGTGTTAAAAAAGGTAGGCAGTGGTTTGATTTGGGCCATAGACTCTAGTTTGTTGATCCTTGGCTTTGAGAAGGAGTGAAGAAGCTAGATATATGTTTGAAAAAATAACTAAATATTTTCTTTCCTTCTCTTAGTTTCCTTTAAAGTAAAAATTATGACATTGTTTTGATGGTTTAAAATGTGTCCACAATTTGTTTGACAGTCCTCCCTTCAAAAGGCTTGTGCTGTACTTAGTGACTTGTTTCTAAAAAATGGAATGTGGCACAAGTGACAGCCTTCCTGATTCAGACATATAAGGTATTATAGCTCTTCTGCCTCTTCCTCCTCCTTCTTTTCCTTCCCTGTTTCTTTTTTTATTTTGTACCAGAGATCGAACTCATGTCCTTGCACTTGTGAGACAGGCAGTGGAACCACTGAGCTAAATCCCCAGCTAAATCACATCTTTTTTTTTTTTTTTTTTTTTTTTTTGG